TGGCCAGGAATCATGTAAATTCCAGTTTTCTCCAGCGCCTGCCAAAACTCGTCTGGTGGCATTTCCTTGGCCTAAATAACAATGACAAAACAAACAACTCAGTAAACTAAAAAAAATCTACACATTACTTTTGTCTACCTAAAATCCTTTCACTTCGCTCACCAAACAGACCACATACATACTTTCCTTGTGAGGGAAATAGCTGTCTTTCAAAGAATCCCTCGATGAAGCCTTGACTGGGAGCTGGTACTAGATCAATACGACATATGGAATTTAGCAATGCAATATGGGAAGTTGAGAAAGTGAAGTTTTAATTTTCGCGGGACATTATCAGCAGCCTGAATAAGATGGGAGCCTATAGCGTCCTTTTCACTTTTTCTAACCAAAGAACGCCTTTTATGAAAACTGACACGACGAGAAACGGGTTGGCATTCTTCTAATATGAGGTCCATCCACGAGAACCTTGGCTTCTGGATCGCACGTTGTGGATTCCGGATTTTATGCTGTTGATCCCGGATGGTAGGTACTGGATTCAGTATTCCTTGTCCGTGAAACATGGATTCCAGATTCCAATCGTTAGCGAGATTCCGGGCTTCATATATAGAGCAGGCTCCAGCTGTTCAAAAGCTGGATAACGCTGTCCACCGGATAAATCTCCATCCAGTGGATAGTGCAATTGGTTTCGCTCAGACCTATCCACTGGATAGTGAATTTATCCGGTGGATAGAGCTATCCATCTTATGAACAACCGGGTCTGAATTCCGAATTTCAAACCCCAGAACTGATTGCGGATCAGTCTACCAGAAAAAAATTTCCGGGTTCTTGAATTCGGATTACCGTAGACCTAGGATATCCATTACTGACAGTATTCTACAGTGTCGCACTAGAAATCAGGGCCGGAAACAGGACATGATACTTCGCCTGCCTCGATAGCTTTGTTTGGAAGTGTTATCCTCGGAAACGCATACATTGCACCTGCCACCTCGTTACACTTAACATTTTCAATTGAGTTAAGAACTTCCGTTGTCATCTTTGCTTTCTTCCTGTAAGAATCCTTGATGGATGTTACTTCCTGTCAAACTGTGTTACTGTAAACAACATTGCAAGAAGGGAGGGGAAAATGCAACCTCGTACCCAGGGCGCTTTTCCCTGGCTTTGGAGGTGGGGCGCTAGGGAAAAGCGCCCTACGAACGAGGTTGGGGAAAGTGGTCTTTCAATTGGCGATGGTTAGCAACTTTGTCAGGACAAGTGCAAAAAATAGGTATTTTCCCCTAATTGTTATGTGTCTTACAAAGTTTTGTCCGATGTTTAGCTGTTACAACTGAGCAACATTATTGCTTTGCAGTATCATCAACTTGGTCCATGTTTTTGTATTAAGAGGTCTCTAAGTATTGTTGTTGACATCAGCTGCGATGCAGGCAGTCCTAACAACCCTCTGCCACTTTACGACACTTGCACATCCTTCAAAGAGCCAACTTGCAAAGTGAAACTAAAGTAAGTCATTCCAAGATACAGTTTCTTTAATGATGTGGAAGAAAAAGAAATCTACCATCAGAAAGCTCAGAAAAATTTCCGAGCTCTACTAACGGATGAGATTCGAACTCACGACCCTCCGCGTTCTGAGATCACTCAGCTACTGGAGCACTCTATGGCGAGTGGGTTGNAGTGAAACTAAAGTAAGTCATTCCAAGATACAGTTTCTTTAATGATGTGGAAGAAAAAGAAATCTACCATCAGAAAGCTCAGAAAAATTTCCGAGCTCTACTAACGGATGAGATTCGAACTCACGACCCTCCGCGTTCTGAGATCACTCAGCTACTGGAGCACTCTATGGCGAGTGGGTTGTAATTTAATAACCACGACTTTTGAAACTAGTTTACGAGAGTTGTTGCTATTTTTCAGCTGATTCTTAAGGGTTTGAATTCAATTTGGTAAAACTACCGTAAAGGGTAACTTGAAGAAAAAAATCGCAAAAAACTAACCGTTATGTTGTCTTGCTTTGTATTTTTAGCAAGTCATCAAAGCCCTTAGATGTTGTTGACATTGATCATTTTCCCTCCTTACTGCCGAGAGAAAGCAGCACAAGATTTGCAGATGACTCTACCCCACATTTGCTCAAATTAACTCAGGTGTGCTTTGATTATCTTAAAATACACCAAAAGTAGTTTTTCTCCTTATTTCCATGTTGTGATGATGAGTGGAAAATAAAACATTCAAATGAGCCAAGAGAAATTTTAAGTTTTGGGGCTTTTCTGTTCTCTTGAATGAGCTCGCAAGTAGACAAATATCACCTTAATACTCGTGGCTTAGCTTGGCTTATAGGCTGGATGACGTTCAAATTAAGTTATTGCAATGGGACATAAATAAAAGGTGACTGATGAATTGGTCTGGTTTCAATGTACCTGAACACCGGCAGTTAAGTTGCGGACAGGATATACCGTAGACATCAAAGAATAAGTCCACATCA